CACTTAGACTGATATACCACTTCATAGTGCTTCACAGTCTTGCACCAACAATCTGGGTCCTCATTTTACAGACCTCGGAAGGATGAAAGACTGAGTCAAACTTGAGCCTGGTGAGATTCAAACTGCCAAATTGCAGGCAGCTGGCATATAGCCTGCAGTACTGCACTCTAACCACGGCTCACTAAGTAAGTAAGAAGATATATGTGAACATAGAATACAAACATTTATTATAAAGATAATAAAGAAAAATAATGATTTTTTTCATAGAATACATTAGACAGAATGCTAGAATTTAATCCAAGAAACACTTGCACACCAAGCCTCATGGCTAAATAATTATATGGATCACATTTTACTATTATTTCAATTAGCTCTGAAGGGTACTTACACAAGAGCAATAAATTCCAATAATCACTCTAAAGAGCTCTTGAAAAGACTAGTGATCAAGTGAACATTAAAAATGATCTTTCAATCTTCTATCGGCTTTTATTATTGCAAAGCTTATATATTGCAAGTGAATACCAAAACTACAGATAGAAAAATAGACCTCAACCTATTGTTGATGTAAAACTGAAACTGAAGGTTAGAATTGGCTGGAAATGGAACTCAGACATAATAATTTATAAACCCTACTTTATGGTTTAGATTTATGTATGCATTAAACCCTGGTTAAACATAACATACTCAGTGTATGTTTTTATGCCACATGAAAACCGTAAACAAAGAACACATTCTAGTTATGTTGATGGTGATTGTCTTCCATTGACTTTATTTTGATTCTATAAGTAAAAGCAGGATTGCTCTGTAGTTTTGCAGTGTTCTTGTCAAATTGTTAAAGACCAAACTAGTCATATTTAGCTACTATACATGTGATTTTTTTTTAAAAAAAAACAAGTCATTACTGAATGTAGGGCAGCCTCCAAACTAATTTTTATCAACATAACAAAACAGGGACAGAAAGACATTTCTTTTTCTTCTCCTGCTGTCATCCCAGTCAAAAATAACTGTTTCCCCTCACTCAGAAAGAAAAGTTCTCATAGCCACCGAGGACAGCTCCACTTCAAAGCAGCCTCTTGTAATGGTGGCTCTGATGATCATTGGGACCTTAGCAGGACAGAATGGAGTTGAACATTTATTTGGATTTGCTGTTTACCACATAGACACACGCGAAGAAACACAGATACAAATTCAGCTTCTAATGATTCTGGTTTTTAGACTGAAGGAGGCTTTAAAAATATCTTGATGCTTGAAAACATTTGCTATGGTTCTCAGAAATCACTTTTAGTATACTTGAACTGACTTCCAAGTAAACACGAGGTTTTATATATTGATTTGTGTTGACAAAGAGCCGTACAGCACTTTCCACGCTGACAATTTTTTTATGACATGAGTTTCCATGGCCTATAAATCTTAAAGTATTAAACCCATGTTAGTCTTTAAAGTACCAGAAGACACTTAGTTATTTTTACTGTGACAAGTAATGCGACTATCCCTTTGGGAATTATTTTCCCTGAGTCAGACCTTGATGTATGATATATCAGCAGTGTGCATTTACTGTTCTGTCAATGGCTTTGTGCAGTATTTTAAGAGACATCATCCAAAGTGGGTGATGCAAAATTAAAAGCAGACTAATTTTTTTTTGGGGGGGGGGGTGTTTTTAGAGCAAAAGCTAAAGCACTCATTCCCCCCTTCCTTAAAATTCTCCCAGGGTCTCCATCCCAGAAATTCAGGAGGAGGGGAAACCTGCCCAATTTAACTGTGCATGTCCATATGTATGTATGAGAAGTAGAAATACCCCACTGGAAGTAAGAGAGAGCCATTTCCAGACCAATGGATAGATTTCATTAAAAATAAAAAGTACGTTGTAGGAAATATAAAATGCATCTATGTCATTTTCAAAGATGCAGCATTTTTTAAAAGATTAACAGGAAAAGGTTGAAGTGATTGGTTAATGTAATAATAGTTGCTAATTTGCACAGCTTTAAAAGGGGATTAGACCAAATAATGAAATGGAAGTCTATCACGCTGTCTTTCATTTCTAACAGTAATTTCAGAGAAGGTCTGTTTTGTGATCTATTAGGTCTTGCTTGTAAATTTTGTATCAGGCCCTGGTTGGCTTCTGCAGGACAAAAAGATGTTTGACTTTGGCCTGATCCAACAGGACTGTTCTCATGCCTTTAGATTTAACTTCCTACAGCTGAAACTAAATACGTTTTTATTTTATGTTTAATAAATACTTCTTGCCTTAGTCAAGGCCAGTTGTAATGAAAGTAGCTATAGCAACAAAACAAAGTTTCAACTAATGAAGGGACATTTCCAACAAGAATAAAAGCTTGAGAGTCTGAAGTATGCATCCCTATTAGTTACCTTCAAGTTGTAGATGTGATATATTCCAGTGCCACTGAAGTTTGCGAAAAAATTTAACAATCTTCTGGCTTCTGTGGGGTGTTTTGTTGCATAAATGTATATTGCACATCTTACTATACAATAGCAGAGTTGGAAGGGACCTTGGAGATCTTCTAGTCCAACCCTCTGCTAGGCAGGAAACTCTATACCATTTCAGACAAATGGCTATCCAACATCATCTTAAAGACTTCCAGTGTTGGGGCATTCACAACTTCTGGAGGCAANAGTTAAAAAAGACTATCACAATTATCACAACACAATTATTTTAAAATGGCTTCCCCTTAGAGATCAGATTTGTCCCTTTTCTGTTTGCTTTCAAATTTTGGCAATATTTGGAAAACAAATTCTTGATTTGCATTGCATTGCACTGAACTGTTATTCTTTTTTATTTTCATTTTTCTAATCAATTATGTCAGATTTTTTACCACTGATATTTTCATTGCTTACACCTTGTAAGTCAAGATTTAGTTGAATGTGGAGGAGTTTAAGTTCAATAAATGAATAAATAAATGTAAAGTAGGTCACCCTTTCTTTATAGTGATGCATACAAGACATAGTTAAATTAAAAAGATAACAAGATTAAGAGATCAGTTCAGTAATAACTTCCTTCCTTCCTGTTTTTAACAGCCTTGAAAATACTTATCACCTGCTACTATTTAAAATATAAGCAAGCTTACCTGAAGTGTTATTTTGTAGGATTTTAGGATTGTATAAAGATGTTTTAAAGTTCCTGCTGGGGAGTTCAATTGGTTTACTCCTTGCAATTAGGTTTTAATAATCCTGCCTTTGTTGATATTTTAGCTTAGGGACTCCTTTTATTTTGCTGTAGTCAAAAGGCCAGAACAAGTGAAACTGATCTGAAAGGATGAGTAACTGAGCAATCATTTAATATTTATTTTGCAGATTTGTGATGCAATAGAGCTTCTCCAAGAAGCACTGAAACTGTGTAAGGATGATATGAATTCTCTTCATTTGTTGGCCCTCCTTTTTTCATCACAAAAAGACTACCAACATGCTTTGGATGTAATGGATGTGGCCCTTGCAGAATATCCTGACTGCTTTCAGTAAGTGTTGTTCAGAATATATTCCATCTCTCATCCTTTTGTGCACATCATGGAGGATTGATGAGCAAGTTGTGCAATCCAGATGTTGGGTTTATTCCCCCTCACAACCCTCCAATCCCAGCTGCTAGTTAGTACTGATGGGGAACCAATTTCTCCATTTCTGGTCTAAAGGAAGGCCCTTTTGCTCTACTGAAAACTGTTATGGAGATAAAGATACCTGGGAGCACATACAACTCTTAAAAGAGTGCAAATATATTGCACATGTGGAGCATAAGAACAATCTGAAACATCTATAGTAAAAGGTTTATGATAAAGGAGCAAAAATGGACTCCTTTGGGGAGCCATAGGTCACTTTGTGCCTGTTGTAATGATTTAACTTACTATTAAATAGCATCCTACATTTCATAAAACAACCAGTATTTCTTCTCAAACCCACTCTTCTTTCTATTCAGATCAGCTTTAAAAAAAAACTCTGCTTCTTTCTCTCTGTCCAGGATAATGATATTAAGCACAAGGCAGCTTCTTGTTTGTGCTGAACCCAATGTTGTGGAACATTTCCTGGATCCCCAGGCTTAAAAGAAACAGAAACAAGCTTCTTCTTGGAAGCTTTTGCTAATATTTTGTTAGAGAACTTCCGGAATGCATTAGAGTGAAAGCAAGCAGATATAAAACGGTGAATGTTTTCAGTACAGTGAATACATACAAAATCCTCTTTTGCACATAACTCCCGTAGTTTAAAAAATGGTAACAGGAATAATAATAGCACAGTTTTTCAGCACAGTAATATTTTTCTTTTACCCAGCGCCTGGCCTTGAAAAATATGCCCCAGGTTTTCACTAGGACTGATTCTATGGTAAAACAGCTGGATGTGCCTATTAGCTAATATCTGCAAGAAGGTCAGCTACAGCTTCTGTTTCCAGATAACTAAAGGCACAACATTCTACTTAAAACAAAAAGAAGAAGACAGGCAGACCACCTGAAGTACAGTATGGAAAAGAAACAAAACTGACACAGGGTCCAGCATAGAATTCACTAATTATCTACCAATAATTATAGTTGCAAAACTGCAGTGAAACAGGCAAAAAACCCAAAACCCCTGTAGTAACCATTGTTAAAATGCTATCCCTCTTTCTCCTTGTTGGTTTGAGCCAAATCATTGGAGAAATCATATGTGCTTACTTTAGGCTTCTTTAATCCAGTGTCCTCATCTGAACCTTTTCAGTCTTGGTTCAGGCTGGAGTATACTACTGAAATGGCATTGATGGCATTTATGGATGATCTCTAGTGGCCCTGGACTGTCATAGTGCAACTTTCTTGGCTCACCTAGATTCCTTGGCAGCTTTAGATACCGTCTACCATGAGATCCTTCTGGACTGGAGGCATTATTTTGTGGGTTCTCCTCTTTCCCCATGGCTGGTTCCAATTGGGCTTGCAGGAAGGATAGCTGCAATATCATATGCACCTTCCAAAGTGGTGGAACTTGCAGTGTAATGCTGCTTTTATCTGAGAAGAAATACAGCAAGATGAACTAATTCTACTTTATTGTAAGGCTACATATTGCAATTGACCCCCACCCACCATCCAAGTCGTTACAACACAAAAGAACAATGGACGCACAGCCAGCACCTCAGCCACACAGGATGATACGAAACAGCCAATCAATTTACAAACATCAACTCCATCTACCAATCAGGATGCAACTACACAGCCAATCAACCCACTTATAGCAACAAAACCAGCACTACACACCCCCCCACCAAGATTTATAGAGAGACGGTAGCTCCAACCACACTTTACTCGCACAAGCACGAAGCCGAAAACACCAGCCTGAAGATGGCGAGTGGGACCTTCGCCAAAATGTTGCCAAGACAACAACCTCAATCTTACACAGGAAAAGACCCGAATACAACAAGACCAGCACACATACATACATACATACATACATACATACATACATACATACATACATACAGGATATACATACATACATACAGGATATACATACATACATACATACAGGATATACATACGTATGTACGTACATACATACATACATNCTGAAAGGCCTATGAAGCGGTATATAAGTCTACTGCTATTTAATGGCTGATTGACAAAAGTGTGGGCTATTAAGAGTGAGTCTGTTTCCTGACTAAAACATGTTTCTCCATTTCTTATCCAGGGGAATATAATATTCTGCCTTTTCAACATTTCCTAGGATATTTCATTTTTCCAGGAGAGGGGTGGGTTTTAACTTCCTACATGCCCAAATATATGTCCTCAACCACATTGGAACATTTGACTGCTTCCCAGCAAGGCATTTAAAATAAAAAATGTTACAGAGTAAATATGCTGGGATTCCTATAAAAACATTGAGATCACATGCATGATTTGATTGTTTTCAGGAACATCTTTGGTGCAATTGAATATTAAAAAGAATATTTCAAAACAAAGATGCATTTTCTTCTTTGGGGCTTTCATTTACTTTATCCTTTAAAGGACATTCTGACATTAAACCTAAGACCCTTCTTAGTGGGAAGGATTGGTTTCCAATGAAAGTTTCATCTTATATATTCAACTCACCTTTTATTGAATGACCATTTTAGTTCTGTCAACGGATGTTGCTATTCAAGGATATGGGTATGAAGAGGTAATCCTTCATGTAACCAAATGGAATTTGATAGAAGGCTTTGAATTTTAAACATAGCCCTGCTGGAATTTTTCTTAATGGCTCTGAGGATTAAATTCTACTTCTTGCCATATATCTTGCAGCAAGCTCTGTATTTCAGCAGATAGAATAAAGTTCAGTTCAGGACCTTATTTGACATTCACACAACCATAATTCTCCTTTCCCTAAAATTCTTGTTAAGTTTTCTGCTGAAGCTGCATTGTGCTAGACCAAGAAGTGGGTGGGTATGGGAGCTACTAAGCCTAACTCATGAGCATGTATGTGCTCCTGGGTTTCATTCACCAGCTGGACCACTAATTATACATTGCCAACAAAAGGAGAAAGCTTTGCATAAAATATATCTGTGCTAATTTACGTACATCTTTTGAAAGGACAATTATAAGTGAAGTAAAACAACCACCCAGAGTTGTTGTATTCATGAGAAGGGAGCATAGAAATTTAATAAATAAATATACTGGTACATCTGATACCATTGTAGGGGAACATTGTGACTAGGCTTTTTATGTGTTTGTTCAATCTGATCCCCAGTGGTAGTTTTGGATGATGAGCAATATTAAGGTTAGCTGATTTGCTCGGATCCTAAAAGTGCAAGAAAGTCATGCTGACACCTTGAAAAGGCATTGTAGAGCTAAGAAAACCAATGAAAAGGTCAACTGAAATAATTAAGGAGCTGAAGTAATTCCCCTGCAAGCTTCTCCCCTTAAAACATGTGGCATTAATATAATATAGTGGAAACAATCTCTTTAGGATTATTCTGTCCATTATCAATATTATAATTTCTTCACTGTTATGTTCACTTAATGAAGTTTTCTTTGAATAAAGATTTAGGCAGGATTGGTTTAAAAGCTATGAATGTAGTGTGTCTTTTTCCATTTTTCACAACAATGTTAAATACTGTATGTACAAATGTATGCCTTTAGAAATCCAAGTTAAAGTTGTTACTTTTTTCTTACTTTTTTGTAATTCTTCACTTCTACCCTTTAGAATCTTTTCTATACTATTCACCATATGTTTCTATCGTTTTTTAAATCTTTGTAAAATCTTCTTTTAACTAAAAATTGTTTTTTTTTTAAATCAACATTTTTAGATTTGGGGATTGAAGAATGTTTTCCAGCCTGATTGTTTTTTAACTTCATTTCTATTATAAAGTTTGTTTTTCAGTTTTTCCGGTTATTGCATGAACATACTATAATATATAAGAACACTATTTTAATATTAATATGGTACTAAAAATGAAGCCCAAGGAATCCATCTGCAAATTAGTAATAAGTTTTATAATATTAATTCCATACATTTAACCCATCTATATTTATGGATGGGAATTTTTTCCCCACTTTTTCTGTTACTTGTTTTTGCCAATCTGTCTGGTTTTCTCCTCAAATTTGATTTTTTTGAATTATTTGAATAAAATTTACATTTATTTTTGGTGAACTGTTAGGATTTTTTTATTTTTTAAAATTTCTGCAATAATTAGAGTTCTCCCATCCATCCTGGTGTCTTTTTAAAGGCTCCATTTCGGCTGTAATGCTGGCAGCAGTTATCAGCTAAGCATGGTGTTTTTATATTATTTGAAAATAGCTTAATTTTGGATGTCAAACGGTAGACATCATAGCTCTTCGAATGGAAGTCATTTTTATCATGTATTTATCTTTACAGCTAAATATTATTTGCTATTTATATGTGTGTATATTTTTATTGCAGTTTACTCTTCACAAAAATAAAACTGGAATTAATACATAAAGGACCAGAAGAGGCTTTAGTGACCTGTAGACATATGTTGCATCAGTGGCAGATGTTGTATAATGTTTCGCAGCAAAGGTAGGCTTTTCTTTACATTGAAACTGGATTTTCCTTAAACCCAGAAATGCAGAAAGAGTTGTCTGTATGTATGTTGCTCTTGTTATTGAATAGAGGTAGAAGAGGCCATTTGGGCCATCAAGTGCAATACTCTATTGCATGAAGGAATCCAAATTAAAGCATCCTTATTGTCCAGCTTCCATTGGAACACATCCAAGAAAGGATGTCTGCCCCCTGTCTGGATAATGTATTCTACTGTCCAGCTGCTTTTTAAATAATGATTAATCAGAATCTGCTTTCATGCAATTTAAATCCATAATTCCATTTACTATACTTGGAATGAGAAGAAAAAGAAGGTTGTATGTGTATTGCACCCGCTTACATACTTGTAAATCCTGGAGTGGATTTACAAGCATTTTAGTAGGTCTAGGATTCCTGCCTAGATCTAAATATAGGTACCTGAGTAAGAAACCTGAAATTTGTAGAAACCATTAAGCATCCACAAGCAAGCATTGAAAGATATGCCACTTTATAACACTTGTAAATGAAAAGGAAGACAATATCATATAACCAGCTTAGACTCTAAGAACCAGACCTTGGGAAATAACCATCATGGTTATCAAGCCTTGTTTGGAGAATAGCAGGATCCCAGGGATCATCCCTCCTCCCCTCTGCCTTTCAGAGCCAAGACAGGACTGACTTTCCAATGCTGCTCCATTCCAGAGATAAACCTGAAATTTTAATGCAAGTTGCCATTTAGAATTCATTATAACTTTGCAGGATTGCAGATCAAGGCAAATGGACAGACCAGAACTAAATCTGTTGCCAGGCATATTCTATGGAGAACAGAATCAGATCCTTGCAATCAGAGAGGGAGAGGGGTGGAGGGAAGAAATCCCTTCTCTCTTACCCCTGGCTGGGCTGCAGCTAGACAGAGATGTCAGGACACTTACACAACCCCACAAGACATCGTCAACATTTTTTTTCCTGGCAAAATGCCACCAACTGGTATACTAACGGAGCTTGCTTGTTGTTCTCTTTCATTGATGTTCCCTGTTCATGTCAAAGAATGATAAAGTACAATACATCTACTTGGAGACAAGGGTTCCTATTTAATACCATGCAATAATGACATTCTTAATTGATTATTTACTGATCTTGAGTAGCAGTGAATAAAAATGGAACACTGTATATTGCATATCAGCATTCACTCATGCTGTGTTTCCCTATGTGGGTTGTGAGAGCTCTTGAGGGTGGATTATGGGGCTTGAAATCCAATTCATTATTCATTTGGTAGTATTAATGGATTGATTTTATTTCTATACCCAGAGTGGTTCACAAAAAGTGATAACAATAATCTTTAAGTCAAACCATCCCAATAAACCAGCCATGCTTAAAAATGACTACCAAAACTAAATTCAGTTTAATTCTAAAAGAACAGAAAAGCAAAATACAGGCAATCTAATAGACCATCTGGTTCCAGAATCATGGTTATCTTACATATGCTTGGGTTAATAGGGATTTTTTTTTTGAAAGAAGACAGATGGGGCAGGTTAACAAACTGGATTACAGTAATGAAATCAAACTTTATTTGTGTTGAATGCTACTGACACACAAACTTGAGCTAACATCGTCATATATATCATAATCACAGCGTTAATGTAATTAAAAACTATTTAATTTGGAGGCTCAATTTTGATATTAAAACCCTAAATGACCTTGTTTCAGATGATCTTAAGCAGTATCTCTTCCTGCCACTATACACACACAAACACATATATTTAAGAATGATTCAAATACGCTCAGATATTTCTAGCTACACTTCAATGGGAAATATATTGTAATTGGCCTTTCTCCCTTCTCTTTCTAGAAACTAATATTAAGATCCTTTAATGGGATTCAGATTTAGGTATATTTAAGGCTGGACTATTGAAATCAATGATACTCATATTAAGTTACGCCAATTGTTTTCAGTGGAAATACACAAAGCATTACAGAGTTTGTGGGTCCAACCTGCCATACTTGTTAATGTGATGCTTTTTAAAGTCTTGCTTGACTTTTTTTTGTTTAATTAAAAAAGAACATTCTCAGTTATGATGTTGCATTATAGTATGTTTGTATGTATGTGTTTAAAAATCTTACTAAAATGACTATGATTAGTATTAGAGTTATTCTTTCTCTTACCTTCACTGAGTGACTGTTGGAAAAATTGTTGTTGGAAAAAAATGGGTAAGAGTGGGAAGAAAAGAAGTGAATGCTGTCCCAAGCCCTTGGATTTTTTTTTTAAAAAGGATACAGATTCAATAAATAAACATTGCGTATCTGTGCAAACATACCAACTTAATACTTAAAATATTTCCTAGAATTTTATTTATTAATAGCAGAAGCCGTATCCCGGGTTTTTTTCCCCTTTAGTTATATAAACAACCTTAATTTCTGAGCAGAAAGTGCATTTCCATTCCAGGAATGGCTGCTCTTTTTGCTGCTCTAAAAGGCTGTATGCAGCACTACTTAGCTGGTGGAAAAATACTGCATGTAATTTCCAGTTTAGTTGCCACCCAGCCCACTTGCAATGGGTGCTTATATCCAGATTAGAGCAAGAAGGCACACACTGCTTAGTTCAGTTATCAAAATGTAACTTGATGTTTATTTATTAAACATCAGCAAATATAAACATGATTAGATGGCAACAGGGGACAAAAGGCAGACAAAAGGCAGAGAGAAGAGGGAGGGAGAGAGGGAGCGGGAGAGAGAGAAAAAATGAATGAAAGGCAAGAGATAAAAAGCACAGGGGATTTAATAACCACAAATTACATTATGTATATCCTTATAGCAAAAGGATACAACTTGTCAGAGACATAGGAAACAATACTGTGGGTAATTAGCACGAACTATACAGAGAAAATAGTCTTTGGTTTTTCCAGCCTTAATTCTTTTATGTACATAAGAGCAGCACAATAGAGATGGAAAGTAGGACATCAGGTGACCCATTCTCTATTCTGCATCATGAATGGATCAATTTGGTGCATGAGAATGATCAGGGTACCCACTCACCAGGAAACTCAGGGCAGCTGACAGGGATTGGAATACCATGTACAAAGAAAAATGATAACATCTAATAAAAACATTCTGTGCCAGAGACCACACACAACCCATAGTTAGTTATAAGCCACTGAGCCAGTGATGACTAGTATAATTTTGACTTCAGTCAGCTTTCCTCATTACGATGGAGAAGAAAACTAGGAAGAGATCACACTTTCCCTACTTCACAGGTAGGAAAGAAGCAAACCATCGGATTTTCAGCAGCAGAAGCCACAGTTTGCTAAAACATGTCAAATTAATCCAAGTGCATTGATCACCACTTGACATCATCACCATCCTGCCTTGGCAGTTTGCTTTATCAAAATTTTCACACAGCATGGCTTGTGACACAACAAACATCTGTCTTTTTGCCAGAAGTCCTGCTGCCTGAGCAATGTTGACCACGACTATGTCATGTGCACCCACATTTCAGCCTTCAAGGTTGATAGATGCTCATTTTCTAGGACTGATTATTACTGTTGTTTAAATTTCTCCCATCTTTCTGCAGAAGCATTTCCCCTTTCTTTGTTTCCCCACAACAACTCTGTATGGTAGGTGGGACTGAGATAAAATAATTGGTCCCAAATCACCCACTGAATCTTCGCGGTTGAAGCAGAGGTGGTATTCAGCCAGTTTTGACGGGTTCTGGAGAACAGGTAGCGGAAATTTTGAGTAGTTCGGAGAACTGGCAAATACCACCTCTGGCTGACCCCGCCCCCAATCTATTCACTGCCTCCTGAGTCCCAGCTCTTCGGCTGGGTCTTCTTTTGCTGCCCTGCACAGGAGAAGGGAGCTGGAAAGCAGCTTGGTGGGGTGGGGAAGGAATGGGGATTTTGCAGTATTCTTTCCCTGCCACACCCACCAAGCCACACCACGCCCACTAAGCTACAACCACAGAACCGGTAGCAAAAAAATTTGGAACCCATCACTGGGTTGAACATTGGCTAGAACCTTCCCACATTTTAGTCCAAGCCCTGGTCTACTATGGCATTCTGGCTCTAGTATATACCCTGCCTTTAGGTAAGTGATAATTAACACGTTTATCCTGTTGTTGTTCTTTTCCAGTGATTCAGAAAAAGCAAACAGTTTGACTGAAACAGTACCAGCCAAAAAGAATAATAATGTATATCTTACTCTACCTGATGCCCATGATAACGATTCTGGTAAGAGAAACAAAGAGATTAACGGATGGCCTAAATCCAGTCTGAACAATCACATATAAATAGAATTTGTTTTTTTTTTAATGCAGTGCATTCTTCCATTCAAATATCTTCTTCCCTACTAATATATTATAAGGAATACATTTATTTCAAGATTTTATTATGTTAACCTACTCGTGATAGCAACACTTTTGTGGATAGAATCGTCATCTGAAAATAGTTCAATGTTAGATCAATGATCCCCAATTTGACACAGTATATTGAATTATGGATCTCATAACCATCAGCCACTATATGTGCTGTGTGTTGTATCAGTTGCATACGATGGCTCTATACTGTTTTTATTGTCATAGGCAACATGCCGTGGAGTCACTTAATAAATACTCATTTCCTGAGTGTGAGATTTTTGTAGGCATCTGTTTGACTGTACTAGACTTAATTCTGGATTAGGAAAATCTAATCTATCAGAATCCTTTCTGCGTTCTCAACAATGTTCCCAGGAACATTGTTGAAATAAAAGTGTAGCTACACCATGGATTTATGGAATATTGTCTTTTTCACCCATGTCACCCAGGAGTAAAGAAATTGCAATTCAGTATTATTAAAGGCCACATCTGTCTATTTTATAATGTCTCATAAATGCTGAACCAGTTAAAATGGCTGGCTGACTTGCAGACATCGCAGGAATGTGCAATTAAATTACAGAAGTGTGTCAGACAGATTTTCTCTACATAATCAACCTTGAAGCTTACCTTCAAGACGTGATAATCGCATCCATAAATTCAAACCCCATATTCATGTGGACCAAACAACAGTTCGTAAATAAACTGTTGAATAAAATCTTATTTTTGGTGGCCCTCTGATCAAGAAATTATGCAAAAAAAGTGTGCACATGCTCAGAGATATAGCTGTTTGCAAAGAGAGCTGACATCAGTTTAGTGAAGATCTGAAAGGTCAACCTCAACTCAAAAGTAGTACTTTAATTTCAACTGATTGTTGCTGTTTGTGAATTTGACACAACTTCAGTAAAGAGGTTAGTGGGAATAAAGAGTGTAGAGTGACGTGCAGGGAAGCAAGGAAATTATGTATATTTTGGCTTCTGCAATTAATCTCAGGGTTTCCAAGTTCCAATGCAATGGTAGAAAACTTTGAGGTTCAGTTTGACTCTCCTTGATCTTTCATTATTCCTTACAATGATTAAAAATGGAGAAAAATATTGCAAGGATTTTTTTTCTAGGGTCCGGATATTCATTACCATAAAGAACTCTTAATTTTTCCTTCTCAAGGCCATCTTCAGGAGTCTGGAGCCTACAGGAGAAAGACTGCTCTTTCCTAGAAGGCAGAGGCAAGACTGATGGGCTTTATTCTTAAGAAGCAGGATGCAATTTTGTTTTGCCTTTGCATTCTTAATTTTTCCTGGTGGCTCCATCTCTCCAGTAACTGAGATTATTATTGCACAATTAAGGTAATGTTACACAGTAAGAGTATAAGAGTTGCAAAGTCAGGATTGAAATCTATAAATTCAAGCAAATGCCAACTGAGCTTATGATTCTTGGTACAGTTACAGCACTGAATGTTATATTTGAAGTATATTTGATTTCAGATCGACAGCTTGCCTTTTGATCAAATGGTTTTCAATTTGATCTGTTTACAACAAACTAAGATGACAGGAGAAGCCAGTTGGAAGATAGGAAAAAAGCCAAGCCTTGATGTGTTTCATAGAAATGAGCTAGCTACTGAAAGCTTAGGGTCATAAATTCTGCAATAAGCCGGAGGGGAATTTATGTGCATTCGTGAAGTGTGCTTTTATGTTGCCCTGAGTATAGTTGTACTGAGATATGATTAGGCTCTTCTTATCCAGACCATGCGAAATGTGCTTTGCAGCAATCGGGAAGCCTAGGGAGAGACTGGTGAACACAAAGATCTTGGCATTCCCTAGATCCTCTGGGCTCCTTTTTTGTTTTGGGGGATATTTCTCCACGATTGCAGGCATAAGACTACAATTTGTCCAATATTAAACCAATATTCCTCATGTAACGGATGACTTACCACTATCTGATGATGATGAAATCATGCTTCAGCTTATTTCATGTTGGATAGAATAACTTTCCCTTTTTTTCTTAGTAGGAAGGCTGTGTAAACAAGAATTTGAGCTTCAGGGGATACTTAGTGGGCTTAGATTTCAGTAGCTACTTGTCACATGACAAAAACATATCAGTGTTTGGACAGTAGTTGAAATGAGTAGTCTAAGAATCTACCTAACTACAATAAAAGAAATGGTTCACAAAAGCTAAATTCCTCTCCGAATGTGGTACAGAGTAATGCAATCTATGTTCTTAAAAACCTGCAAAGTATGTATGTATGCATGTATGTATGTATGTATGTACCAGTATTTATTTATTTACTTACAAAATTTATTGGCTGCCTATCTTACTACAGGGTGTATGGGTGTATGGGTGGCTTACAATCATAAAAGATTAGATGGATGGATAGCTAGATAGTAATAGATAGATGATAGATAGATCATAATTAGATGATAGTTAGATGAAAGACAGAGACGGAGGGAGGGGGAGAGAGAGAGAGATTAGATAAAGAGAAGGAGGGAAGTGGGCGCAGGGTTGGGGAAGAAGTGGGATCTGTTGTTAATCAATAGCAATAGCAGTTAGACTTATATACCGCTTCATAGGGCTTTCAGCCCTCTCTAAGCGGTTTACAGAGTCAGCATATCGCCCCCACAGTCTGGGTCCTCATTTCACCCACCTCGGAAGGATGGAAGGCTGAGTCAACCTTGAATCAATCAACCACTTCCACTGTGATG